CGGCCCAGGGCCCGCCAAGGCGCCCGCCCCAGCCCCGCGGTCCGCGCCCTGGCCGGCCACCGCGCACGCAGGCCCAGGGTCGGTTCCGATGAAGTGGTGTGGGGGGGGGACGGACCGCGACCCGCCCTCGTGGGGAGTGCGCATCTCTGCCCGAGGGGAGAAAAGCAGCCTGATTTCACACCGTCAGTTTCTGTGTGTGTGTGTGTTTTCCCTTCTCTCTCTCTCTTTTTTTTTAACAAGCAGTATGACCGAAACGTGAACTTTTCTGCTAAAATATACTCAGTAAAAAATAAGATCTCATGTCAATAGAGCTTAGGCAGATAAAACCGGGTACTTTCCCTTCTCTTCTGTTATACGAAGACATTTAAATTCCTCTTGCAAGAGCGACGCCTGGTGACGAAAATGCCCTTGCTGCCTCCAGGCCCTGGGTCAGCACAGCCGCCCTGTCTGGCAGCCCCAGGCATGGCCGCCCCTGGCTGAGGGTAGCCCCGAGCTGTCACTGCTGTGGGATATTTTGGTAAAGAGAAAACAAATGAGCCTTTCACAGATTATTTTAAATTAGATGGACTCCTTTTAAATAGTATATCACAGAATCAAAAACGATGTTTCTTCTAAAAGAAATCAGTGGGCCCACCTGCAGTTGTGCAAGCCAATGCCGCCTTGCTAGTGTGGGTACTGCACCTTTCTGTTTTGCAAATTTTTTTTTTCCTTGAGATAGATTTTTGCTATAGGGCTCTGGTGTTTGCTAGAGAGACATCCCCCCGGGGGTGGGGGGTGGGGATAGCCACTGCAATCCCTTCTCCATTCTCCTCTTGGGATTTTGGGCACACACGCCTGGTGTGAGTTTCAAGCTGCTGAGTCCGGGACTCGAACTAGGTTCGACCGCGTGGGAGTCTAGCACCTTAACCGCCACGCCAGCAGTTTTTAACGCACAGATGCTTTCCCGAATGTCCTCTCTCTGCCCTCCCGAATGTCCTCTCTCTGCCCTCCCATCAGCCGTAGGAGATGCTCCTGGTGAGCAGTGGCTGCAGGGTGCACTTGCCTGCACAGGTCCACCTGGCCGTCCCGGCGGGCAGTCCTGCCAGCCCTCTCTCTCCCTGCGGACTCTGTGTGAGAACTCACGGTGCCCCACCTTTATGGAAACATTTCAGACCTTTTTAAATGGAAAAGTGCACTAATTTATTCATTTCTACTGGTCTTTCCAATTTATGGTGTTGTCAATACAAACTTCTTGAAGTTCCCCGGTCCCCAGAAATGCGTGTACTGCAGCCTTCGTCACAGTAACCTGGTCAGTTAATGCGGCTGACTGTGCTGATTAATGCCACGTGAAGGTCCCGTAACCCTGGGAAGTCATGCCGACAAATCATGTCTTCGTGAGACTTCCTTTTGTGGGATACAGGGTGGCTGAATGAGGTCCACGAGCCTAAAACTATGTAATTTTGTGATTGTTACCAAAACGGTCTGAAAACAACCTAACGCAATGTTTCCCACAGAAAGCTGTGAGAACTTACCTGAAGTTACCACTGGAAATTTCACTATCTATTTTCAGGCAAGAGGGAGGTGACATGGCCACAGGAAGTCCCCAGCTCTCCCTCCCTCCAGTGAGTGAACAACTTCTGCTGCTGAGGGTCCAAAATGCCCAACAGATAAGGGTGAAGAATTTGCAATGAGTAATCGTCTAGAATTATTGGCATAAAAGAATGATTGATTTTACCAAATTTGATATAGTTTGATTTACTTTTTGAGAAAACTGTATCGGATCATAGCAAGAAAACTGAGCAGAGAGGAAAAACCTTGTATTCCGCCTACTTTCACTGTACGTTTATGTCGTGAAATGGGCACACTATCTTTTCAGCTTATAAACAGTATAAGCCCCAATACTTCAGCTGCGATCATTTTTTCTTCTCCCAGAAAGGTACAGGTTTCACCTCAGATGAGTAATAACTGCCTTCAAATGCATCTGCCTAGATGTAAATTAACAACATGTTGTAAAATGAACTGTTGTATTTGTTCAACCACTATGTTAATTATTTAACAGTAATTATGCTCTTATTCGAGAGGAAAGCAATTACCTGCCATGGATGACGACGTTATGCGCTATGAAACATTGCTCGGTGTTTAGCTTTTACCAGGTCTGCTGCTTGCACTAGTGTGCTAGGGCTATATGAAGCGTCTGAGAAGACGTGCTTTCTGGGCCAGCAGGCGGCGCGTGGCAGCTGAGGTTCTGGATCTCACATGGCCCACTGCATGGTTTGAGTCTCAGACCTGGTGGCTTGAAGAACATACCGGGTACACGAAATTGCATTCCCAAAATCCCGAGAGGAGAAGGAATTGCCGCATGGCCCTCCCCCAGGGGGGTAATTTTTCACTTTCCTTCTCTGTCTGTCTGTCTCTCTCTGGCACTTTTTGCATATGCCCTATGGCAAAAATGTGAGGGGGAAAAAAGTCAAGCTCCCTGACTGGACAGTCTCCCTACGTAGGTGTAATCACAGTCCCCTTACAGGTGCTGTGTGTGCCATCCTGAAGTCTGGTCTAGAGTGCTCAAAACAGTACCCTCTCTTGTGCTTCCCCCCTGCCGTAGATGGCAGGGCTACTTCAAGGACACACAGGACCCTCATTGCTGAGGCCACGTCTGCATGTGCAGAGCCGCGTAGCTGGGGTGCTTGGAGATGTGAGCCCATGCAGTATGTAAGGATGGGTTACTGGATACATGACTGACAGGCTTTTGCTCAAATATCTTCTCTCATGGTTGAGAGACAGAGAACTTTTTGTGGATGGGGTCAAATATTGTCTGATTGGAAGTGATACAGGCAACGGCCTGGGACCCTATGGTAATTCCCACAGTGTCATGAAGTTGCCTTATTTCTAACCAGGTAGTTTTTGGCTGTTTGGGGAGCTGACCACTCTAATGAAGAGTGTTCATGCGATGAAGCCATTTTCTCTCCAGTCGCAGCCCAGCCTGTGACAGGAAGTGGCGTCTCGTGCTGCCATTCAGGTGCCAGCCTTTCCCTGGGGCCCTCCCCCTATGACCTGAGTGGAAGGAGCAGGGCATGAGTAGGATGGAGTAGGAACTCTCCAGGAGCATCACCAGCCCTGCCCATACTGCATGGCGCAGCTCTCAACCAGCTGCCTACTGACACACAAGTCTCTGGCTGTCTTTTCACAACAAGTAGGTTCAAAGTCAATGTGAACAGGAGTATTCTCTACAGAAAACTAATACAGCTGATCTCAAACCACGGGGTTTGGGGCAACAACCCCTGGGTGGTGGAAAGCTATGTATAACTTTTGACTCGCCCAAAACTTCACTATGAATAAACTACGGATGACCAGAAGCCTCACTGATAATGTGAACAGTCAGTTAATACACATTTTGGGTATGTATTATACATTGTATCCTCACAATGAGGTAAGTTAGAGATAATTAAAGTAAGTTAAGACAATTAAAAGGAGGAGAAAATACATGTACAATATTGTAGTTTCCACTGTGTCAAACATGCGCTCTGTAGTCAGCTGTGTCTGTTATGATGTCTCCTTGTTACTTCGGCAGTCCAGGAAGAGACATCCCCAAACCTGGGTAAGCACTGGTGCTCCGGCCCTCCTTCCTGTGCAGTTGAACAGAGGAGTGCTACAGC